CCATCCAGAAATGTTATATCAACTGAGTTGTTTTATATTGTGAGTGATTTCTATAGTTTCTTTATTTTTTAATTGAAAAATGTAAAAAGTAATATAATGCTCCGGCCTTTTGCTTATATTCCTTACCCAAGAGTCATGTAAATGTTTATATCCCAACAGGCTTAACTCCAAAGATGCTGCTGAGAACTTGTGAAAAAAAGCTTGCATTACCAAGTATGGGACTTGTTTTCTTCCTAAGGAAGAAAAAAGAAGGAAGGAAAGAAGAAAAGAAGGAAGAGAAATTTTGTGTGATTTCCATTTTTTAAATGTTGTTTCTTCAGCTTTACCTGCCGTGGTATAGTAGGTTTTTTTTGTTTTGTTTTTTTAGCATATTTTATGATGGTATAAACACAAATCAGCAAACCATATTCCAAGTGTTGCAAGCATAAATCCCGAATAATTCAACAAATATTAAATAGCATTATGCTAGTTCACACTGATGCAAATTATATTTTCCCTCCGTCCTTCCTCAACCACAGTATATTTCTACTAATCTTGCAGATCCTGCCACTGGTGAAGTCTTAGTATTTTTTTCTTTGATGTGATTGTTGGGTACTCCATTTTTCACCCAGTTGAAGTAGACCTTCCATCTATTTGTAATGTCATTTTGTTTGTCCGTTCTTGTTGTTTGCTTAGTCATAATTCCCGTAATGTCTAATAACACCTGATCAAAGATATAACTATTCCAATTACTTAATGGTTTTGTGTGATTGCTATAATTTATTTATTTTCAAAGTAAAAAATAAATAAATGGAAGGGTCTTCCTAGTGGCTCTTCCAGTTCTGAAAATCCCTTCCCAGACAGGGATCTGGGCATCCCTTTAATGTTTTTCCACAACAACAACAACAATTTTTATTGATTAGCCAGTTGGCCTTATCAAAAACAGACAGTGCAAATACAACTTACAACATACAACATACGTCTGGTCCTATTAAAATAAAATACAAATATATAGGAATTTATCAACTTAAAAACAATGTAGCTTAGCCATAGATATATGCATCAATTTGTTTTTCCACAAATGGGGGAGACTTTTTTCCCCCAAGAGATCTTTGGATCTTGATTTTGCAGGCAATGTATAATGTATAGGAGTCTTATTTCTTTTAATTGTTCTTTAATTTGTTATCAAACTGATTCTATGTTTTAATTGTCTAAATGTTTGATTATGTTCTATGTTTAAAATGATTTGAATTGGTTTAATTTATAGTCATATGTGTGTGTGTG